GTGTCTGTTGTATTCTGCTGCCTTTCCTATCCTCTACTATCCCCCCTCCCCTCCCCTCCCCTCCCCTCCCCTCTTCTCTCTCTACATTTTTTGATATTTAGACTATGACTAAAAATGTCTTAAAATGTGGGGCTGAGGCTGTGACTCAGTGGCAGAGCACTTGCAAGTGTGAGGCACTGGGTTCGATCCTTAGCATCGCATAAAAATAAATAAATAAATAAAGGCATGCTGCCTACAACTACCAAAAAAAAAAAAAAGAAAATTAAAAAGGTCTTAAAATTGGCTCTTTGCCCCCTTCTGTGTTGGGTGCTGTCTGTGGACAGTGTCATTCATTTATAGTGTGGCCCTCCGAAGCACCAAGGTCAATAGCAGTAGGGTGTGTGGTCTCTGACTGCAAGTCTCCCCCTTGTCCTGATGCTGGGGCTGGAGCCAGTCTGCCCCAGGCCTTGGTATTAACAATGCCCAGTGGAGATAAGACTTCCTGCTTCCTGCTTCTGGCAGCAGGGATCCTGCTCAGAACACCCCCAATGTTTTTCCCTTAGGCCTGGTAAGATTCCTTTTTATACCTATATTTATTTTACACCTATATTTTATTTCTAAGTAATTGCTTTTTCACATATATCTTCTGAATTTGTGCTGGAATGCCTGGATTTCTCTTCAGAGACTTTTTTTATTTTTTATTTTTTTAGAGAGAGAGAGAGAGAGAGAGAGAATTTTAATATTTATTATTTTTTTTTTTAGCTTTCGGCAGACACAACATTTTTGTTTGTATGTGGTACTGAGGATGGAACCCAGGCGGCATGCATGCCAGGCAAGTGCGCTACCGCTTGAGCCACATCCCCAGCCCTCTTCAGAGACTTTTCATGGTGAGATTCCATGTTTTCTGAGGGTCATTATGTCTACCTTCAACTTTGAACAGCTGGGCTGTCTGGCTGCATAGACCTGCTCTTGACTGCCACTCTGGCATCTCCCAGGATCCATCCAGGCTCCAGCATTGAAGAGATAGGAGAGGGAACATCTAGAAGCTTGTCCCTTGATCCAGCAAGCACCCAGCCCTGTTCTGTGCTGGGTGAGGCTCTGCACCACATCAGTTTATTGCTGCTCCCTGACACACTCAGACCAACAGAGTCTTGGTCGAAAGAAGAGTGTGATGATGGGGAAACTGTGTGGGGGTGGGGGTTGGAGTACATGGGAGCTCTCTATCTTCCGCTCAGTCTTGCTGGGAGCTGAAAACTTCTCTAAAACAGAAAGTTTGTTTAAGAAACAAAACCAGTCATGCTCACTGCCAAGCAATTCCTCCACCAGGACTACCCTGCCCGGCACCCCTACTTTCAGCCTCCCCTCCCTGCACAGACCTCCCTTGATCCCGTCCTGCACAGCAGAACCCTTCTTCCCTGTTGCCCTCTCCCTGTCCACTAACTTTCAGAGGATGAGCTGCTGCCACTGCTGCTGCAGTCCCTATGCCACACAGCTGGTTCCCATTCTCTTCAGGGACTGTCCTCTCCCTACTCCACCCACTGCCATCTGGGTCGTCTCTTCTTGTCCTTTTCTTTCTGCTATTGCTAATTACAAATGAAGAAATCTGGACTTTTTCCCTAATGTTTTTTTTTTTTTTAAGAGAGAGTGAGAGAGGGGGAGAGAGAGAGAGAGAATTTTTAATATTTATTTTTTAGTTATCGTTGGAGCCACATCCCCAGCCCTCCCTAATGGTTTTAACAAGTGTTTCACAAGTGCCAGGTCCCATACTCAACACCATGCTACATAACACTATGGAGGGTGCAGCTGAGGCTCATAGCAGGTCACAGCCAGGAGGGCCTGGCCTAAACTACCCCTGTCAGCCACCAACCTTATCAAGAGCCAGATGGCAGCAGTTCCTGTCTCCATCCCTGCTGGACCATTAGCCACTTGTGCCTTCCCTCCTCCTGCCCCAAATTGGGACCTGTTCTGCCTCCAAGTCACACTTGGGGGTGAAGTAACCTGTAAAGGAGTCACCAGTTACCTCCAGGGCCAGCTCCTGCACCTTTCCAGCTGCTGAAATCAGCCCCAGTGCCATACTTAAGCTGTATAGGGCAGTCCTGGGGTTTTTGGTGCCCAGATGACCCCTTTTCCTGGAGGTTCTCTGTTCCCCGCTCAGGACCCTGCAGTCTGCCTCCTGTGCAAAGTCCTCCTCAGGACCTTGGGCAGCTCAACTGGCCCTACAACTAGGAGAACCCCAGTGGACATCAGGACCAGCACCTTGAAGGCAGGATCCAGCTGGCTGGAGGTGTCTGCTGAAGCCTCCAGAGGCCTGGAGGGTGCCTGGAGGGTGCCTGGAGGAGTGGCCAAAGCTCCTAGTCCAGAGCGGCAGCCTAACCCTTGGAGAGAGCAAAGGAGAGCAGGTGCTGTGCCCAGCACACCTTGCTGGGAGGTGGGGTGCATCCCTCTTAGGAATCCCTTCCTGACCCTCCTGGGAGGTGTCCCTTCCTCTGAGCCTCCCTTCCTGCCCTCACTGCAGAAAGGCCAAATGAAGACAGCGTCTTTTGGGCAGAGAAACATCACTCTAGCCATCCTCAGCAGCGTGAGGCATGCGCACACTGGTGCAGCCATTGCTGCCCTTTGCAGAACTCTCTCATCTTCCCCAAAGGAAACTCTTCCCATTGAATCTGGACTCCCATCCCCCATCCCCTAGTGCCCCACTCTACCTCCTACCTCTATGAATGTGACTGCTGTGGGGACCTCACCTAAGTGGAATCCTACAGGACTTGTCTCTGTGACTGGCTGACGTCATGCAGCACAGCGTCTTCAAGGCCACTCTGTTGTAGCCAGGGAATATGTGTTTGCAGCCAGCCACTACACAGAAGAGTGGTAGGTCCTCACAGCAGGGTGTGCCTGAAGGCTCTATCAGAATGTGCTTACCCAGCAGGTGCTCAGCAGCACTGATGCCTGCCCCACCTGTCACTGCCCTGGGAATCCAGCTGTGCACTTGACCACCTGGCTCTCAAAGGCCCCTCCCTTCTGGCCCTTTGCCCACCCACTGGATGGCACCCTCCTCATAGGGCAGACACTGCTCACCAGGCTGCCAGGAAAGTCATCTCTTCGCTTTTATACTGTTGAAAATGAATTGATCCATTTCCCAGAAATGTTCCAGCTGCTTCCAGCTGCATTCTGAGCCACTTGCTATTGATCGTCATAATTGTTTCCACTTTGTCCTGAGTCAACCCATTGGTGGAAAAGTACAGGGGGAGGAGGGTGAGTTGGGGGAAGGAGGTGAATGGCTGGCCAGAGCAGCTTCCATCCCTGGTTGACTGCACTACTGCCCCAAGCCCCAACTCATCCCCAAGGACAAGTTTGTCATTGAGTGAGGCCCAAGGCTTGGTGCTGGTGGAAAGCCACAGTGGTAGGCAAAGAGCCCCAGAGAGGATTGACGGTTCCTTTGCTTTTGCCCCCAGCCCTAGCCATATCTAGCAGAGCAGCACAGTGGCCCAGGCCCTGCTGGCTGTGAAAGACAGGCAGCAGCTTGGGAATAGTACTGGGCCAACAAACATCTGATTTTAAAAAACAGTGTCCAGAATGGAGTTGGAAGCTCCTCAAGCGTGGCCTCGTGGTCAGGAAATCCAGCAGCCCTGGCCTGGCTTGGTGTCCCAGGTGGAAGAGGAATGTGGCACGCTACCTGCAAAGACCCAGCCCCATTTGGGAAGATGAAAGAGTTCTCTGGTGATGATTTGAGAGTTGCACAAAAGTATGACTGTACATAATGTCACCAACTGCCCAATTAAAGTGGCCAAAGTGAAGTGAAAATGTTATGTTATTTTGCCACAATTAAATTTTTATTAATTAATTTTGGTACTGGGGATTAAACCCAGGGCACTTAACCACTGAGCCGTATCCCCAGATCTTTTTGTTTATTTTTTTATTTTGAGACAGGGTCTCATTAAGTTGCTTAGGGCCTCATTAAGTTGCTGAGGCTGGCCTTGAACTTGTGATCCTCTTGCCTCAGCCTACCAAGCTGCTGAGATTACACGCATGTGCCATTACACCTGGATTGATATTTGTTTTTATTTTTGGTGCTAGGGATGGAACTCAGGGCCTTGTGCATGCAAGACACACACACTACACTGAGCTACACTCCCAGTCTAATTTTGGGAGTATAATACTTATAAAATTAAAATTTCTAATACTTATAAAATTTTCTGATGAACGATATATGTGGGTATGCATATCCATATGATTATATGTACATATATGCATATTAAAGTTAATGACACCTGCTTTTTTTCTTTATTGTTTTTCTTTCTTGCTGTGTGTGATACTGGGGATGGAACCCAGGACTTTGCAGGTTAGGCAAGCACTCTAACACTGAGCCACATCCCCCAATCCCTTTTTAAAATTTTTTCAATTTTGAGTCAGTTGCTTAGGCTGGTCTCAAACTTGCCATCCTCCTGCCTCAGCTTCCCAAGTCCGAGTGGCTGGGATTAGGGGTGTGTGCCATAGTGCCTATCTTGTTTTTTTTTTTTTTTTAATTGTGGCTTTCAGGAAATTTCCAGTGACACTAGGGTTCACAGTGTGACTTCCTTAGGCAGTGCTGCTGTAGTGATAGGCCGAGAGCATTCCAGCTTGCAGAGAGCCCTCACAGAGGCCAGGACTTGCTGACAGATAAGCTTGTTTCACTGAGGGCTGATGGTCAAGCTGGGCCTCAGTGGGAAAGTTCATTGGTCTGTTAGATATTCAGGTCAAGGAGCATTTTCTGCCCAGGGCACCTGCCAGCACAAGAGGTGGCCCATGGCCCCAAAAAGCATCTGCCAGGACAAGCTGAAAACAATTGTCTTCCTCCTCCTTCTCCTTGAAGAGGCTTTGTGCTCACATGTATAGAAACAGCTCATGACACCTTATAAATACATACAATTTTTACGTTGCTATATATCAACTGAAAATTAATTTAATGCAAGTCAGTGGTAAAGTGCCTCTGGGTTCAATCCTCAGTACCAAATAAAAAATAAATAGATTTAATTAAAAGCAAAAAAAGAACAGGCCCTGGGATGGAGCTACACTGAGAACAGATCAGCAGTCGACCCTCAGGAGATGTACTTGCCTCCTCCATCTAGGAGGACTGTGGCCTCCCGACCAGCTTGCCTGTGGAGAGGCCTCTGACCGCTGAGAGGGCCTCCAAAACTTGCATCCACATCTTATCCCTCTCCTGAGTGTAACCTCACTTGGAATCAGGTCCTTGTGGGTGTCAAGGATCTCAGGAGGTCACCCAGGATTTAGGGAAGCCCTACATCCAAAGGACAGTGTCCTTGAAGAGGAGGAGAAATTTTACACATGGAGACACAAAAAAGAAGAGCATGTTGCCACAAAGACGGAGACCAGAGAGGTGTGTCTGCAGACCAAGCAGCATCAAGGGCCATGAGGAGCCTCCAGGAGCAAGACAGGGGTATGGAACAGGATCCCTGAGCCTCCAGAGAACCAGCCTGTCCACTGGTTAATGCTGGGCCTTTGCCTCCAGAACTGTGAGGATGGATTCCTGTTGTTCTTGGCTCCCAGGTCATGGTAATTTGTCACGACAGCCACAGGACCACACTTCCAGAATCAGAGCTGAGGAGGGGACCAGCAGGACTCCACAGCATTTGAAAGAGACCTGGCTGATGTGTGGTCCTGGGAAAGGAGAGGAGCTTCCTGTGTGCCAGGGACTTGGCCTCCTGCGCAGCAGCTTCTAGAGTATTGATTGAGGATGCTGCCAAGGCATGGCTAATGGTCTCCCTGAGGAGCCAGCTCCCAAAGTGTGCCACATTAAATGCTTCAGACTTACTTCCTGCAGCCTACAGTGGGTCCGATGGCCAGACTGGAGTCAAGCCCCTGCCACCAGTTCTCCCCACTCTGATAGCCTCAGTTTCTCCATCTGTACAAGGAAGGTGCTCTCTGCCCTGGGTGGTATTCATGAGAAATAGGAGAAATGGTGTTCTGGACCTGCAGTGGGGGACATAAGCCATACCTGGTTAATGAAGTTCTGTAGATAAGGAAGTCATGGGGACTGGATGCAATGGACCTCCCCTGAACGCAGTGGCTCACCACCAGGTCTCCCTCTGAAGCCTAGTGTGTCCTCTTCAGTATCTTCCAGCTTATCCCACAGTAGAGCCACCTCCTTTGCTTGGTTTCTTGCTCAGTGTCTGCTATATTCTCCCAGGCCCAGGCCCCATCAGGATCTGTTCTGCAGGCCTAAGCAGATGGCGCCATTAGGGCTTATTCACAGAACTTGACTGCAACCCACCCCCTGTGGGTGGGGACTGGTTCTGTCCCCGCTGTGGATGCTAGCATTCCCTCTGTGTGGTAGCTGCAGCTGCATGCGCTGCTGCTGAGCCTCAGCCCCACTGTGGCCAGTGTCCCATCCCAACCTCTGGCTTTTGATGCTGCCAGAGGCCTGTGGTCCCTGCTGGGCCCACTTGTGAGTCCAGCAGGAAGAGATGCATGGCTCTCTTCTGCCAACATGGCTGTTAATCCACCAGTTTACACTCACCCCAGAGCTTATCCCAGGAAGCTCTGCTAGAAGCCTGACTGGGTAAGCTGGACCATCCTAAGAGCTGACTGCCTGAGGGCAGGGGTGCTGCCTAGGGAACAGGACTCCTGGACTCAGAGATAGAGGCAGCCCTGCTGCATTTCCTGTTTCCATCCTGCACAGCCTGTCCCCAAGGTGGGTCCTCCTAGGCCTAAGACCGACTGTAGAGATGGCTCTAGGGTGGCCTGTGACCTGAGGACCAAGGGAAGCCTGGGAAATTTCTTTTTTCTTTTGTTTATTTTTTTGGGGGGGGCATACCAGGGATTGAACTCAGGGGTCCTTGATCACTGAGCCACATTCCCCAGCCCTATTTTGTATTTGATTTAGAGATAGGGTCTCACTGAGTTGCTTAGTGCCTCGCTGTTGCTGAGGCTAGCTTTGAACTTGCGATCCTCCTGCCTCAGCCTCCTGAGCCACTGGGATTACAGCGAATTTCTTTCTTTTTTTTCTTTCTTTCTTTTATTTTTTTTTTAATTACTTTAAAAAGTTTTCCTTGGTGCTGGCAATGCTCCCCCGCTGAGCTACAAACAGCCCCTGAAGTTCCAGTGTTTAAAGCCTGGTCCCCAGGGTGATGCTGTAGGGAGGTGGTGGAGTCTTTGAGAGGTGGTTGGGGGCATGCCCTTAAAGGGGATTGTGAGGGCTAGGGTTGTGGCTCAGTGATAGAGCACACACCTAGCACGGGTGAGGCACTGGGTTCGGTCCTCAACATCACATAAAGATAAATAAATAAAGGTATTATGTCCATCTACAACTAAAAAAAAATTTTAAAAGGTGAGATTGTGGAACCCTAATCTCTTCCTCTCTTTTTTGCTTCCTGATTATGAGGTGAGTGGCTTTGCTGTGCCATGTGCTACTGCCATGATGTACCACTACAGGCCCCCAAAACTGGGTCCGCCAATCATGGACTGAAACCTGCAAAATTGTGAGCCAAAATAAACCTCCTTTCTTTTAAGTTGTCATCTCAAGCATTTAGTTATAGTGATGAGAAGATGGCTGACAGAGGAAGAGGATTTGGGAACCAACCAGGGATGTCAGGTGGGTGAGGAAGCTCCTGGGCCTGCCTGGTGACAGCAGCAGGCTGAAGGGACAGATACCCACCTCTCTTGGAGATGTAGCACCTAGGGGAGTAGAGAAGAGGGCAGGAGGAGAGGAATGGGGTAACTGGGGAACTGTGCTGGCCACCCTATGCTCTGCCCTGACCCCTGCTGTGTTTCTTTAGGGCTGAGCTGTGTCCCCCCAAATCTATTTATTGAAATCCTATCTCGGGGCTGGAGTTGTGGCTTGGTGGTAGAGCACTTGCCTAGCATGTGTGAGGCCCTGGGTTCAATTCTCAGCACCACATATAAATAAATGAATAAAATAAAGGTCCATCAATATCTAAAAAAAAAAATAAAAAAAAAAAGAAATCCTATCTCCATGACTCAGAACATGATCATACTTGGAACAGTTACACTACAGATGAAATTGATTGAGATGAGGTCATACTGGAGGAGGGGGGCTTCTCATCTGCAGGCTCTGAACTGTGGTGGAAATGTCCCATTGCTTGGTAGGGTTTCCAATACACAGATGAATGTTTTCTCAAAACTCTTCAGATCACTGTGCATGTGTCAAAACCTACAGAATTCACAATACAATGTGCAGTACAGAGTGAGCCTCAGGTCAACTCTGGAGCTTGGTTAATGTATCAGTATGGATCTATTTCAATGTTAACAAATACACTACACTAGTAGTGTGATAATGGGAAGGGGAAGTATGGGGGAACTCTTTGTACTTTTTGCTCAAATTTTCTGAGAAAGTATGAATGGCTCTATGGCTGGGATTGGTATAGTTTAGTGATAGAGTCCTTGCCTAGCACATGCAAGGCCTTGGGTTTAATTCCCAGCATCACAAAAAATAAAAAACAATAAAATGACTTTAAAAAAGAAACTAACCGAGTGTGACAGCACACACCTGTAATCCCAGCCATATGGGAAGCTTTAGCAGGAGGATTGTCAGTTTGAGGCCAACTTGAGAAATGCAGCAAGATCCTTTCTCAAAATTAAAGGACTGGGATGTAGCTCAATGATAGAGCACTTGCCTAGCATTCATGAGGCCTGGGTTCCATTCCAAATGCTGAAAGAAGAAAGAAAGAAAAAAAAAAAGCTCTTCAGTTTCTGAAATAAAGGCACATATAATGTAAAACAAAATTCTTTGAATGGCATCCTTAAGGTGTGGGTATTCCATCATATGTAAATGTTCTCTGAAATTACAAATATTGAACTTAAGGATATGAATTGCTGAAGAAATTAGAGGTGAAGTGTACTGATGTTTGTTTGCAAATTAATTTGAAATTCACATGTAAAGGAAGAGCTGATGGACACAGATAGGAAGAGAGACCCTTGATAAGCAAATAGGGCAAAATGGTAGACTCTCCGTGATAAGTAAGTGGGGGTTTGCTGCACACATTTCAACGCTTCTGTCCATGTGTATTATGGTAACATGTCACAGAGAATGCTGATGCAGAATCTCAGTTCCCAGAACCTGGGCCCAGCACCAGCTCCAGTGTTTGTCTATTATGGTGTTTGTCAAGCCATGTTGGAACTGTTGGGATCACCTTGACGCCTGACTCTCTCCCAGCTTTTAGCAGGGCCCTTTCTAGATACCCACATATAGTGGTCAAGTTTCCATGCCAGAGGAACACAAGGCTCAGCACTTCCCAAGCACATCTCATGATTCAGAAGTGAAGTAGGATAAATATTCTCCTGGCCACTTGAAGGGTGAGCCTTCCAGCACCCAGCTCAGGTCCAGAGACATATTTGGGTTCAGTAAGTGTGAGGTGACTCTACAAATGTGCATGCAGCCAGGACCACCTTTGTGTGGCAGAGAAGTCCTTCTTGTCCACCTTTAGCATCTGTCCTCATTTATAGACCTCTGTGCTCAGGGTACTGTATGTGGCTGGGCATGTACCCTCTTTTTTTTTTTTTTGATACTGGGAACTGAATCCAGGGTACATAACCACTGAGTTACAATCCCAGTCCTTTTTATTTTTTATTTTGAGACAGGATCTTGCTAAGTTGCTTAAGGCCTCAGTTGCTGAGGCTGGCTTTGAACTCATGATCCTCCTGCCTCAGCCTCCCAAGCTGCTGGGATTACAGGTGTGTGCCACTGCACCTGGTTTGCGCAGCCATCCTTTTTGTTTTTTTCTTCCTCTTTTCTTTGCATATAGTCATATCATGACTAAGATACATCCCAGCCCTGGGCAGCGGCCCTCTTGAGGCTGAGGTTTCCTCCTCCAGGTGTACAGTCTGTCCAGCATGTGAGTGTGCATTCAAGGCATGACTGCAGGGACCTGGGCTCTAGTACACTGAAGAACCCAGCTGCCACCAACCTGGGCTTCAAAATATGGAGGAATGGCCATGGTGGCCTGCCAGTGTCTGGAGAACCTCAGGCCCCATTCCCTCAGAAGACCTGGGCTCTCCATCGGGACCCAGGCCTCAACCCCCAGCCTTCCAGAGGAACAGGTTGGGGCAGGGACAGTGAGGGCTGGTGGGAGCCCCTTCCTCATCCATGTGCTGCTACTGATTTTTGCTTTGTTCTGAAGGAAGCCGTCCCTGGAGCTTTGTATTGGGCAACTCTAGCTCTGTGAAGAAAAAAAATGTGGAAACCACACAAGTTCCATTTTTAGAATTGAAGCCTGAGACCAGAAAGGGTGTGACCTGCTGGCAGCAAGGCAGGACTGAGCCCAGATTAGTCAAGGTCCGGATGCCAAGCCGGCACACCCTGTGATTCGTCCTCATCCCCAAGCCTCCTGCTAGGCCAGGAGGGGCCATGGAAGGGGAAGGTGGAGAAACAGGCAGGACAGAGGTGGCAGTGCCCACCACACAGACTGCCTTTGTCAAATGGGAGAGTAATTTCAAGGGAGCAAGGGGAGAGCTTGCTTCTCTCTCTCTGTCTGCTGGAGGAACCCTTACTCCTGCTTTGTGGGGTGGGTGCAGGGCCAGGGTCCCTTGCTGCTTCCTTAGGGCACAGCCTTTTCTGCAACCCTCCAGTCATTTGCTTGCCCCAGAGATGATCAGAGGTACCAGCATCTGCATAAATAAGGGTTTAGGCTTCATCCTGGTAACCCCCAGTTTTTGTCCTCAGGGCCCTGTTCCTCTAGGCTTACTGGGAGGGGCAGATTAATGGGTTTGCTGCCTTGCAGTAGCCCTGCTGAGCTCCCACTGGACACCAACTTCTTGGCCCTTCGGGTACTTGCATGGGAAGCATGGAGGGTTTTGTCTTCATTCTGAAATGTGGATGCCTCCAGAGGACAACAAGCAAATGCTGGAACTTGCAGGCCCCTGCAGCATCTGTAATATGGGGACAGTGGGCCGTGCATTGTGGCACATGCCTGCAATCCTAGTGGTTTGGGAGGCTGAGGCAGGAGGGTCACGAGTTCAAAGCCAGCCTCAACAACAGTGAGGCACTAAGCAAATCAGTGAGATACTGTTTCTAAACCAAATACAAAATAGGGCTGGGGATGTGGCTCAGTAGTCCAGTGCCCGAAAGTTCAATCCCCAGTGCCAAAAAAAAAAAAAAAAAAAAAAAAAAACCCAAACCCCAAAAAACAAAAAATGGGGACAGTGGTGTGGTGCCCTGCTGAGTTGCTGTGAGGGTCAAAGCACAGGTAGGTGGTTCAGTGAGTGGGGTGCTCCTCATCTCAGAGAGGGACCCCAGTTGAGGTTGAGTTGGAAACTCATGCGCTTCAGCCCCCTGCTGGGCAGACATCCTGAGAGGCTCCATTAGAACTGCTGGATATTCAGGAGAGTAGAGCAGAATGTCCATGTCTTTTGGTCCTAGACAGTACTTGGGGAGGGAAGGGGGGACTTCAGACATTAATGGCTCCAAGGACTGGCAGGAACTCTTGAGGACCACCGCAGAGCTCAGGGACTCAAAAGGATCTTTCATGTCTATTTCATCAGAGGAGGCTGGGCCAGGCAAAGAAGACCTGGAGAAGGGACTGTCTGATCTTCCCGTCTTACATTTGCCTTCATAGCCTCTGTGTAGTCTGTGGCAGGAGCTGGGCAGGGCTTGGGGTTGATGAGGACACAGGTGCTTCCTGTTCTACTGCCTGTAGGCTGAAGGGGAGGCGGTCCTGTAAACTGACCACAGTACACTTCAGGGGAAGGGACAGGTAGGAACTCAGAGGAAGGATTGTTCAGGCTGGCATGGGCAGGGAAGGCTTCTTGAAAGAAGTGACTCTTGGCTGAGTCCTAGAGTACCTGGGGGAACATTCTAGACAGAGAGGACATCACCGTAGGGGTGACATGTTGGGGAAGGGCAGGGTGAACTCAGGGACAGGTGAGGGTGTCCAGGGGACAGGGGAACAGAAGTTGGCAGCATTAGCTTTTGTGGGCCCTGTAGACCAAGCTAAGGAGTTTGGACTTGGTGCTGAGAGCAGCATGGCAGGACTGGTGTATGTGTTGGATGACTTGGCCTCTTCTTCTTCCCCAACACTCCAGGCTCTTCCTGCCCAAAGACGTGCTGGAGTGCTCTATGCCGGCCTTGTGGGGGCTTCTTTCTATCCTCTGGGTCTCAGATCTCAGAAAGGTCAGATATTTCCCTGTCTTTACCACCTGTCTCTCCCCACTAGAACTGAACTCCTATAGAGCAGGGATTTTATCTGCCTGGTTCATTGGTGCATCCTGTTCTACTTCCCAGAAGGACCACAGAAAATGAACAGACACTGGTTGAGGGGACAGAGGAACAAGAAAAATAAAATGGTGGCAATGGGGATAGAAGGAAACAAATGTCAAAGAGATAGAGTCTTGGCTACCCATACAGAGTGCAATCAGAGAGAAGACATGTCATCAAGGGATCTTGCTGGGGTGACAGGAAGCAAGGGACCCAGAGGCCCAGAAAAATAAAGAGCTCCTATTCAGCTGGCTCTTCTCTTTCCAGGGGAACTTGGCCATGAACCGGTGGATGCTTTGCAGGTGCCATTTATGGCGACTATTGTGCATTGTCCAACCGGCCCTATGGCAATGGTTGAGGAGCAGGTGACATCTAACCTGCAGCTTATCTGGAATCACTGAGGGCAATGTGGAGAGGGTTTGATACTGGCTCTATCTATGCCTTTCCCTCCTCCGATCCGAGCTTCTCTGCTACCCATAGGAGCTCCCACTCTTGTTCGCCCATCTTTGCATTTATAAAACAGACCAAAGTAATGGGGCTCCCTGGGAAAACCCAGGAGCCTCTGTCTCCTTATTGCTGCAGGCGTAACTGCAGGATGACCAGGGCTGCAGGAGCTGCTGGTACTATCTAGGAGGGCAGCAGTTCCCACGGTGGGGCGGGGGCTGGAACCTGCACCCCTCCGGGTGAAAAGCGCCTGGAAGGTTTTCCAGCCCCGGCAGGCAAGCAGAGCCTTGCAGCTGACTCAGCCCTCCAGCCGGCTGCTGAGTCAGGCCTGCAGCTGGGGTGCCTGCGGCAGTGGGAGCGCAGGGGCTTCCTGGCCAGCGGGCACGCCCTGCAGGCCGGGCGGAGGCCGAGCGCTCGGCCAGGCCCCGAGCCTCCTCCCTTCCCTTAGGAGGCGCGGACCGAGTGCCGGGTGACCACCGGAGCTCGACCCCTAGCGTCTCGTGGCCCCGGGCGGGGTCCCGCGGAAGACCGGCGTCGTTGCGGACTCGCAGGCTTGGCTCCCCAGCAGGAGCCCAGCGCGCTGCCCCGCGCAACCCGCCGCGACCAGCCGCC